ACGATCGGTATACCTTAACGTGGGTCTTTTCCTCATTGCAGTTTTTCCTCAATTGCATTCACTATGCTAAATTATGCTCAATCAGACAAATATTGAGAGTTTGGTGCATCATTTACATAAAATCGGACGAAACTATATATGGGAGCTATATCTCAATATGAACTGATTCAAACAAAACTCCGCATACATAAGTATGGACTAGATTCAGTGCGCTGTTCAAAAGTTTATCCCAATCGGACAAATATTGGGAGCTTGATGTATCATTTACAAACAAATCCGATGAAACTATATATGGGAGCTATATCTAAATCTGAATCGATTTTCAAGAGGGTTTGTTTTTGGGCCAAATAAGTGAACTGTACCAAATTTCATCCAAATCGGATCATAAATGCGGCATGTACTTTGTTCACAAAAATACATATACGGACGAACATGCGTAAATCGACTAAGTGATTCTATGCATATTCTCAAAAAGAACCATGGGTCTATCTCGATTCGTTTTGCCTGTTACAAACATATGCACAAAGACATAATACCCTGTACCACAGCGTGGTGAACTACTCGACGTAGGTTAGAACAATTTCTTTCAGCTGGTACTGTGGTTACCGGTATCGTTATTAAGATTCGTATCAATTTATTTGTATTTGTAAATAGAATTTCGTCACATACTACAATCGCCTCAAGTGGATTAGATGCTCGGGGATCTTTATCTTCCACATGGTGATACACAGATCCACTTCAGTTTCTACTTCATTCTTACAATTTTGAAAAATTTTTCACATAAAATTGTATGATATCTTTAAAATCTTTATATGAAGTAGAACGTCATTTGAAATCTGCTTTGTCATATTTACAATTAGTTTGTCCAAATATGAGACATTGGACCTGCGTACCAAACCATCTTGGCCCTGAAATTTCTACCACAAAATTGTCGACAATAACAATAGACTCAAGAAACTGTAATAATAATGGTTTGATCTAACATCCATTACTTATTTCTTAGAAACAAATACAAATTTTAACATTTCCCCCTATTTTTCCCAACGATTCAATTATCTCTCCTACAGATTCGTTAAATATTTGTAAGCAATCAATCCGCTTAACCCTTGTGTTTCACAATATGAATGTAGTCGTTTTAAAGACTTATTTGCTCATTCGAAGGGATAATTTGATTCGATTTTGATTTAATAAGGCCTGCACTCCACTATAATTGCCTCACATATTAAACGCACTGTAATATCCTTGACCTCTCAAAAATGTTCGATCCAAACCCAACCTGATTATTGTTGGCCATGACTAGAGATGGGCAGTGGGTAAATACCCAAAGGGTAAATACCCGGTAAATTGGGTAAATACCCATTTGTGGGTATTTACTATATTGTATAGGTAATACAACATTTTACAACCTATTTCCGGGTTTCTGTTATCAAATCGATTTAGAATGGATAGCTTTACGATACTTTAAAGACGTGGGTATATTAGGTATAAATTCATTAACTGCGGAACCACTTGACATAGGCGGCCAAAATTTTGCATACACGTTTTTAATATCAAAGCAAACATAGAAATCCAAAAATGCGGTCCCTGGGTCCAAGTTTTGATATAGTCCCCATATATTCCTATCTCCCGATTTAATGTATTTTTTGTCTATTAGACACATTTTGCAACCAAATTGGCTCTAATTTGGCACAGAGTGTTATTTTTGGGTACCAAATGTCCACACAAAAATTTATGTATGTAGGTCCACGTTTACTGGTAGCCCCCATACAAAGGTACCCCTATTTTGAGTATTTACCCAAAAATAGGGTGCAAACTCATTAACTGCCGAACCGCTTGACATAGGCGGCCAAAATTTTGCATACATGTTTTTAATGTCAAAGCAAGTGGTTCCGCAGTTAATGAGTTTATACCCAATTTTTGGGTAAATACTCAAAATAGGGGTACCTTTGTACCCATCTCTAGCCATGACGAGAATTAATTCTCTACTTCCACTTAGCAAAGTAAACATTTTTTTGACGTTTTAAGATACCATGTTCAAAAATCTTCTATATATTAATAGTTGATCCTTTATCCGTTGTTTTGTCCGCTAAAACCGAAAAGAATACAGCACTTTTCACTCCTTCAGCAATAGACTTCTGAATGTATACTCCAATCATTTCTAATAACTCGTTCTGTATTCTGCCACTCGAGTATGCTGCATTTTTTCATAGACAGAGTGAGGAGAACATGCAGTTAAATACAGTTTTTTTCATTAATCGTCCACAATGACAGTTTCTATGCATTGAACAATGTCAAAAATATAGATTTCACGCCTCATCACAGTAAGAAAACCATTAACGCTACGGTCAATAGGTCTTACCTCTAGACGACAAAATCATTGAATCAGTATATATGAAAATAAATTATAATTTTTATTATTATTAATTAATGTTATATATAATAATGGATTATTGGCAAAGAAAATAATGAAGATAAACTAACTAAATAATGATGGAATATAATTTAAAACTAATTTGAGTAAATGATGATTTTGTTCTTCGGTTGCTGAATATTTGGTTTAATGCATTCGTAAGTATGGAAATAACTTAAAACTAAAGACAGCAACACTTTGGGTGTACACGGCTGCAAACCATATGTTTCCGTCAGCTAAATTATTGCCTTCCATTGGGCAATGTCTTAATAGGCTTCGGTGTGACACGATCCTTTTTATCACGTTTCATATAATCATAGGGATCCACGCCCCCACTACCACCACCACCATTGGCATTATTACTCAACGTAGTCGTAACACCGCTTGCTGCCTTATCCAGCTTATAAGCACTGGGTAGAACTTTATTGGGAGCCGTTTGACCATCATAACGATCTCGATTATAGTTATTGGCATAATCGTAAGGTGTCCTCACAATTTCCGGTAAATGTGCATAATAGACAATACGTTTATTCGGTCGGGAATAATCCAAAGGATATTTTGCCGGATAATCATTGGGATATTTTACGGGATAATTTACTGGATATTTGGCATGATAATCAGTTGGATATTTTGAAGGTAATGGATAACGATCAGGGTAGGCAGTGGTTATAGGAGCATATGAAGATTTTTCATAAACTTCATTATTATAGACGGGCAAATATTCTCGGGGTTCTGGTATATCATAACGACGATCTGGATAATTATAATAGGGTTCGGGATATTGCGGCATACGTGGACTATAACTGTCATAGGGATCATAATGGCGGCGATAAAGGAAATGATCTTCGTAATTATAGGGATCATAACGTGAATATTGTTCGTCAAATCTGAAAATAAACAAAAAAATATTGAAATTAATTACACAATAAATTTCTAGAAAGTTATTGGTTTTAAATAAATATATTTATGTGTGTAAAATTATTGAAATATTTTTTCATAAAAAAGAAGAAAAACAAGAAAAACGTCAGCGTGAGCAAATCGATATGTACAGGAGTCAGAATGACTATTCAAGACTGGTGGCCAGATGCTGGTCAGGAGCTGATTAGCACAATTTGGCTAGCGTGAGCAAATCGATATGTACAGGAGTCAGAATGACTATTCAAGACTGGTGGCCAGATGCTGGTCAGGAGCTGATTAGCACAATTTGGCTCAGCCTCCTGTGTCCCATGCACAAAAAAGGAGACAAGACGATATGTGCCAACTATAGAGGAATAAGTCTCCTTCCCATCGTATATAAAGTGCTATCCAGTGCGCCATTGATCAGATTTTCACTCTGGGCCACCCACGAAAAACACATCGATACATACCACCTATTTGTCGACTATAAAGGCGCATTCGACAGCCCTATCCGTTCAGAGGTGTTTAAAGTTAAAGCGTTCGGCATTCCTGCAAAATTAATACGGCTATGCAGGAGGTCAGCAGTTAAAGTAGGAAAGGACCTATCAGAGCTCTTCAATACCGAACGATGATTCAGTCAAGGTGACAGTTTGTCGTGTGATCTTTTTAATATCCTGCTGGAAAATGTCATACAAGACGCAAAGGTGAACAGAAATGGCACTCTGTACACCAAACAACACATGTTACTCGCCTACGCCGATGACATCGATATAATGGGTCGAACATTCCAAGCGTTTTATTTATGGTACCGCCATAAATAAAACGAATGACATCAGTTTTGAAATTCGGAGAAGGATTGTGATGGTCAACAGATGCTAATATGATCTAAGTCACACTTTACAAGACGCTGATACTACCCGTGCTATTATATGGATCAGAAGCATGGGTACTTGCGCAAGCAGATGAGGCAGCTCTTGTGGTGTTTGAGAGAAAAATTCGACCCTGAAACTTGGGTGAATATTAATAATTTTTTGGTTCAACGAGAACCCAAAATAACAAATTACAGCCAATTCGGTTGGCCAACGGATCCGATAGACACCAAAACGTGGACCGATATATGCCATTTGCAATACCAAATATCCTAGGAGCACTAGCAATGTCTGTACAAATTTTCAGAGCACTATCTTAAATATTGAGATCTCTATGGTGATTTCACCAGACGGACGTACACACGGAAATGCGTAAATCGACATCGAATTTTGTTCTGATCAATAATATATATGGTGATGCATACGGAGTGACAAATTTATTTAAAAAAGTTCAAATATTATTTTAAAATATTGGTTTTAAGCGCTAAAATAAATATTTAAAGAATCCAACCCTAGGGCCTTTCAAAAAATACCTTCGGCCGTTCCTTCTTGGCGGAGAAGTAATTATTTTATAATACTTATAATTTAATAATCTTACTCACCGATCATAACGTCTGAGATATGGATCATATGAACGTGATGGATATAGTTCATAATTATAAGATGGTGTTAGTGGGCTCACTTTCTGATCATAGGTATTTTTAATTAAGGGAGGAGGTATTTTAGTTACCACCGGTTCGGGTAAATCTTTTGCTGGTGCTTCATTATCCTTACGCGGTTGTGTTATAAAATTTACACGAGCTTGCCTCGATCTGGCAGCATAACCACTTGTAGCATCAGCTATGGTATCATCATCATCATTCGATGATGGTGAAATATTTACCGAATCTTTCCACATTGGTGATATATGACGTTGCGAATAATAATCATAATCCGGGTCCATAATTTGTTTCTCTGCTTTGGGTAAGGGCTGGGGTTCCTCACCTTCATCCTGTTGCATTCTAGCTTCGGGTTTTAATTCATCGCCCTTTTGTTGTTGTGATTTTCCTAATTGCTCTGGTGGACTGTGTAATTCAATTCGATCGCTTTCCACATTGTGTATCAGACTCTCTTGAAGTTTTTTATTCAATCCTGATTTAGATACTAGACCCTTGGCTTGTTCATATTCCAGTGTAGATCGTTTATTGCGAATAGCTTTATTGACACCGGTTAACATACTGCGTGCTTCGTAGTAATTGGAATCAGTGCCATAGTATTCCGGTGATTCATCAAATTCATAACCTTCAAGAATTTCCACATCTTCTGGTATTTGTAAGGTTACAGTCGTTTGCAGAAAACATAGCAAGACCGCAACAACAATGGTTGTTGGCCTTAAACGCATGCGGCAGCAAAACATTTCTGCCTGCCTTCGAAGTATCAGCGATGATCTGCAAATAATTTATAATTGATGTTAAATTAGCCACGAAAAATGTTTGCGTGCAAAAAAGTATTTGTTTTTTTTTTTAGTAAAGCGGATCATATTTAATGACAATACTCATGAAATAATAAAGATTTAGACATTTGTCATAATAATTTTCAATTAAATATTTTTCAATGTAGTCAGATTTAAATTATTGCATTATGTATTGTATTGTATTATGTAAAAAATTAAATTAAAAGTGCATGAACATTTAAGTATGCGATGTTTGAGCGAAGCAGGAATTTTTTACGAGGGGGGTTCGAAATGTTCTTAGCCTAGCACAAAAAGCGCGGTATAAACAGAAAAAAAGTTAGGGGTTTTGGAAACTTCCATCTCTGTTATGAACACATGTTAAACTTTGTTTCCTCCTTCATATATAAACAGGTGTTCAAAAAAGAAGCATCAGCAATTTTTATACCCTTCACCACACTGTGGTACAGGGTATTATGTCTTTGTGCATATGTTTGTAACAGGCAAAAGGAAACGAGATATACATATGGTTCCTTTTGAGAATATGCATAGAATCACTTTCAGAGTCGATTTACGCATGCCCGTCTGTCCGTCCCTCCGTCCGACTGTCCATGTTAAATTGTAAACAAAGTACAAGTCGCATTTACTTTGGTCACTTTTTACATTTAAATTTGGTCACTTATTTGGCCCAAGGACGAACCCTATTAATACTGAGAAAAATCGGTTCAGATTTAGATATAGCTCCCATATATATTTTCGTCCGATTTAAGATAAATGGGGCACCAAAGTCCCTATATATCTTTCGATTTGCACGAAATTTGGCACAGAGTACTGAATTAGATCCAGAGGGATGTGTGCCAAGTTTCGAGAAAATCTGTTTAGAATTAGATATATCTCCCATATATAGTTTCGTCCGATTTAAGGTAAATGGCGCACTAAAGTCCCTATATATAATTCGATGTGCACGAAATTTGGCATAGAGTACTGAATTAGGTTTAGAGGTCGAGAAAATCGGTTAAGATTTATATAGCTCCCATATATAGTTTCAACCGATTTAAGGTAAATCGTGCACCAAAGTCCCTAAATATCTCTCGATTTGCACGAAATTTGGCACAGCGTACTGAATTAAGCCTAGAATGATGTGTGCTAAGTTTCGTGAAAATCGAACGGGTGTCTGATTGAAATTAATTTTTTTTTTTTTTTGCTTTAAATCGTTTTCCATAAATTTGTCCATTGGTACGCAGACGACTCTAAATCTACCCAAATGAATTTAAATTTATCATAGGTTGCAGAAAGACCATACTCGTGTACCTTCGAGGGAACATTGACATACAATTGTAAGGATATATGTGTACAACCCGTAGTGGTGAAGGGTGTCATATAGTCGGCCCCGTCCGACTTTACTACTTTTCTTACTGATTTTTTAATGAAAGCGGGCATTTCTAATTCTTCATTACAAAAAATTGTGATTGCATCTTTTTTGAACACCTGTCTCTATATGAAGGAGTTGCCAAATCGAAAAAAAAAATTTAACATGTGTTCATTTTAAATTTCCGTGAAATACCACACAAGCCCACATTTGAATACGCTCAAGGAGGCAGCTTTGAACATTGGTTCCTCTAGCGAAGGTTTCGAATGTGAAGAAATCCCAGCAGAGTTTGTAACACCGCGAAATATTGGTCCTAGACTCGCAGTTTAGTATATCTATCGTCATATCTCGACTAGTTGAGTCGATCTAGACATGTGTGTCCGTCCGTCTGTCTCTTATAATTTGTAAACACGATACAGACCACAGTTATGTTCCAATTGCCACAACATTTTGCATGTAGGAAGAGTTCTGACCAAAAAAGACAGCTATTGTTTTTCGTAATGATCGGTTAATATTTAGGGAATGAAATGGGCCAGAAACTTTTTGGTGTGTTTTCTCTGGTCGCTCTAGACGCCACAATAATGACTCGAAAACCACGAAATGTTACACTGGTCAAATAATAAGCATGACTGTTTAGAAAAAAGGTCAATAATTAGCGGGTAAAATAGACACACACTTTTGTGTGAAAAATGACAAAACTTGTATTCTGGGGCGTATATGTTTACTCCTGAAGGGCAGAGACCAGAGTAGTTCATTGTATAATAAAGATGAGTAGTTGACCTATAAATTGATACCAATTATTATATATGGTTGTATGTACTCGGATGTGCGAGTTATGCGTAAATGTTTAAAGGTGTTTATGTGTTATGATATTGTTTAGTATTACCCCACTAAAGGGCGAAAATGTCAAACTGATCGCTTTGGACTTTTACATGAAGTTCCAACTATGGTCAAGGACGATGCCTATAATTTTCGCTCACATATTTTACTTGGAGGGCGGTACAGATGATGATCGGTCAATATTCCGAGGGTCAAATCACCCAAATCCTAAAGTGCCCAAATTTGTATACCCTTCACCACACTGTGGTACAGGGTATTATGTCTTTGTTCATAAGTTTGTAACAGGCAAAATGAAACGAGATAGACACATGGTTCCTTTCGAGAATATGCATAGAATCACTTTCTGAGACGATTTATGCATGTTCGTCCGTCTGTCTGTCCATGTTAAATTGTAAACAAAGTACAGGTCACATTAATGATCCGATTAAATTGAAAATTGGCACAAGTCTCTTATTTGGCTCAAGGACGAACCCAATTTAAATTGAAGAAAATCGGGTCAGATTTAGATATAGCTCCCATATATATTTTCGTCCGATTTAAGGTAAATGGGGCACCAATGTCGCTATATAACATTCGATTTGCACGAAATTTGGCATAGGGTACTGAATTAGGTCGAGAATGGTGTGTTCTAATTTTCGTGAAGATCGGTTCAGATTAAGAAATTGCTCCCGTATATAGTTTCGTCCGTTTTTTTTTTTTTTTTTTTTTTTTTTTTTGTAAATTGTGCCCCGAAGTCCCTATATAACTTTCGATTTGCACGAAATTTGGCATAGGGTAATACATTGAGTTTTGACTGATGTGTGTCAAGTTTCGAAAAAATCGGGTCAGATTAAGATAATGCTCCCATATATATTTTCGTCCTATTTAAGGTAAATTGGGCACCAAAGTCCCTATATGTCTTTTAATTTGCACGAAATTTGGAATAGTGTACTGAATTGAGTCTTGAATGACATGTGTTAAATTTCGAGAAAATCGGTTCAGATTTAGATATTGCTCCCACATATAGTTTTGTCCGATTTTAAGTAAAAGGTGCACCAAGGTCCTGGTTCGCTTTGCACGAAATTTGGCATTGGGTCGAGAATGATGTGTGTTGGAAAGGATGGTGGGGGGTAGAATTCAGGAGGAACACCATATCCCACCTTTCGCGGGAAGAGCTTCGGCTCGATGTGGAGTTGCATTATCAACCGGGTGCCTGACCCATCGAAAGGCAGAGGTTTAGGTAGTCCTCGACCCCTCAGCAAGGAGGAAGTGAAGCTTTGCGACGGATCTTCGAATTAGTGGCGGCGGATTGGCTTCAGAGTGCTCGTTGAGTACTCTGGGCTTTTCCAATGGGGCGCTGATCGACGCTCAATTTCGACACCCAATGGTGCACCATGGTTAAAACCGTTAGGGCGGGAATCATGTAAAACCCACAGGATACATCCCACCTTTCAAAATTACAAAAAAAAAATCTTTTACATATCCAAGTTTGTTAAATAATGATTGGATTGGATTCACATTTTTAAAATATCGGATGCAGGTTAAAACATTTTGAGGCTTATACATATTTCAAACTGGCGAGGTCTGAGGTATACGGTGTCTTATTTGAAAAGCGAACAGCTATTTATCCCAGCGACATTTTCCATTAGAACGGCCATTCTAAAATGTTGAATTGAGATAGATTTTACGATTTTTCAGAATTAGTATCATCCTTAGTTTGTTATATGTATTTATTTATATAAATGACACACAAACATTATGAGGCAAGTATAAAATATTTAAAAAGCCCAATGTTCACTGTTTCATCTGCATGCATCAAAATTATTGCAGCACAATATTGAATTATAAAGCTCGCGTCAAAAGGATATGTCCACAATATATTCACAATGTCGGGTAATATTATTTAAATATTTTTGAATAATTGTTGTATTGCATTTCATCTTAATGATGCAAACATCTTATTAATTTTTTGTATCGTCATTCATTTGTAATAAATTTGATGTATGTCTTCATATTCATTATTCATTTATTTGACATATCAATTCTCTTAATTTCACAACACTGTTCTCATTATCCTTTTCTCCATATTACCACTCACCACTAAAAAATAGAATATAACAATATATCAAATATTCTATCGTATTTATTTTCGCGGTTACACAACCGTTCCGAATGGATGTCGAAATTCAACTGTGTTAAGTGAAAATTTTGAATTTCCAATTTAAACTTGGAAAATTCAGCGATCAGTTGGCGTTCCCATAAGCTGGTGTTAGTGCCGGTGTTTTCGTCGTTGTTTTGGTAACTTTATGCCGACGATGATGATGATGAGATCAGAACCCAAATCAACAAAAACAGATACAGAGACACTGGCACACAAACATGTGTCGTTTAATCAGTTAGCAAACAAAACAGCGATCTCTGTGTCATAAAGAAAAGCCAAATTAGAATTCACGAATAGTTTAACAGAAAAGTCATTCATTCAAACTCACCACTGCATACCAGACATGAAGCTCAGGGGTGCGTGGTTCCATATAGCATGAAAAAACAACCGCAACCATTTCAAGAGTCACATGCCATGGCACAACATACACCACAGTTGAGAGTTTGTTTTGATCTTCTGGTGAGGTGTGGAAGGGTGTAACTCCACTAACATCACTATTGATGTGCGATATTTTTTCCATATTGTTTAGTGTTGCTATCGAGGTTCGTTTTTTTTTTTTTTGTTGGTGTTGTCAAATGACAACGAACCCTAAACGGCAAATTAATTGTACACAAGGTGCAGTTCTAGTATTCAAAAACACGAGGTACAATCGTATAAGCTAGGATAAAATTCAAATTTACTTAAGAATATCCGAAATAGAAAACAGTAAGTAATACTAAAAAATCGGACGGACCGACTATATGAGAGATACTGCGTAAATCTGTTTATCTCGAATCTTACTTCTAATTTTTTATCTCGATATCATCCGCCGGTAGAATGATTACAACAGAGTCTTAGAACCAAAACCATAATGTGGAACATATAACTATTTTAATATAAACCAGTAAGGAAAGTTCAAAAGTCGTACGGGGCGAATTTATGATACTCTTCACCACTTTGGGTACATACCAGAGATGCTAATATTTACAGTATCCTATAGATAGAATTAAATGTTTGATCTTCATAGATATTTGAACCTATTAAAAACCCATACACATACCATTCTGAAATCTATGAAAACATTCCATGCCAATCGAGGAGACTTGGATTCTTTGATGTACAATTTGTATGAAACCGTGCAAAATTATGTGTGTATGTAAATTTGTACCTAATTGAGCAACCGTGGCATATACCATTTGATATGCTGCAGTACAGTGCGCTGCCCTCAATATTACCACGTGTGTATGGAACAGAAACAAGCTTATCGTTGAACTATTTACATAATATGGGAGATATATCTAAATCTAAACCGATTTCTTAATACAATTATTCTAAAATCGCCGCTTCCATATTTCGTATAAATCGAAATAAAAATCAGTAAGGAAAGTAGTAAAGGCCGACTGGGCCGACTATATGATACCCTTCACCACTTTGGGTACATATGTATCCGAAAAGACATCGCCTTTTTGAAGGAATTTTGACATGAAATTGAACGAACATAAATATGTGATTTTTATGACTTTCTGGAATCTATGCTAAATTTCATTTGATTTGGGCAAGTTTAGAGTCGTTTGCGCACAGTGGGACAGATTTGTGTAAATCGATTTAAAGCAAACTTGACGGACAATATTCGCTATGCTGCACTGTTTAAAATTTAATCTCAATAAATAAGTCGAAATTATATATGGAAGCTACGATATATCTATATCTGAACTGATTTGAAGCAAATTGCCATCTTTAGTGCACAATTTATTTAAAATCGGACGAAAATATATATAGGAGGTGTACACTCATTCTAGACTTAATTCAATACGCTATGCCAAAATTCGTGCAAATCGAATGATTTTCAGAGACCTTAAATCGGACAAAACTATATAGGGGCGCTATATCTAAATGTGAACCGATTTTCGCGAAACTTGGTACACGTCATTCTAGACTCAATTTATGCCAAATTTCGTGCAAATCGAAAGATATATAAGGACTTTGGTGCACCATTTACATAAAATCGGACAAAACTATATATGGGAGCTATATCTAAATCTGAACCGATTTTCACGAAACTTGGCACACGTCATTCTGGACTTAATTCAGTACCCCATGCCAAATTTCGTGCATATGGCAAGATATATAGGGACTCTGGTGCCCCGTTTACCTTTAATCGGACGAAAATAAATATGGAAGCTATATCTAAATCTGACCCGATTTTCTCGAAACGTGACACACGTCATTCTAGACCTAATAAGGTACGCTATGCAAAATTTTCTATAAATCGAAATGTATATAGAGACTTTGGTGTCCCGTTTACCTTAAATCGGACGAAAATATATATGGGAGCTATATATAAATCTGACCCGATTTTCTCGAAACTTGGCACACATCGTTCTAGACTCAATTCAGTATCCTGTACCAAATTTCGTGCATATCGAGTGATATATACGGACTTTGATGCACAATTTATATAAAGCCGGACAAAACTAAATATGGGAGCTATATCTAAATCTGAACCGATTTTCACGAAACTTTGCACACATCATTCTGGACCTAATTCAGTACTCTGTGTCAAATTTCGTCCAAATCGAGAGATAAGGACTTTTGTGCTCCATTTACCTTAAATCGGACGAGACTATATACGGGAGCTATATCTAAATCTGAACCGATTTTTCTCAATTTCGATAAGGGTCGTCCTTGGGCCAAATACGTGAGCTGTGCCAAATTTCATCCAAATCGGATAATAAATGCGACCTGTACTCTGTTCACAAAAATACATGGACGGACAGACGGACGGACGGACATGCGTAAATCGACTCAGAAAGTGATTCTATGCATATTCTCAAAAGGAACCATGGGTCTTTCTCGATTCCTTTTGCCTGTTACAAACATATGCACAAAGACATAATACCCTATACCACAGTGTGGTTAAGGGTATAAAAATAAAATCTAAAGATATAGATATAGGTGACCTATTCTAAATCTGAACCGATTTCAATCGAAAAACACCTGGAAGTTACTGCACCATTTACAGATAATCGGATGAACATATATATGTTAGCTGTTAACAAATCTCAGACGAACTAATCACACATCATTCTAGACTCAATACAGTACGATATTCCAAATTTTGTCTTTATCGGATAAACATTGGGACTTTCTAGCAATATTTATATAAAACCAATTTCATTGAAACTAAACACATGTCATCCAAAATTTATTTCAGTACGCTATGCAAAATTTGATCTCAATCGAACATATCTTGGGAGTTTGGTGCACCATTTACATAAAATCGGACAAACTATATGAAGGGGCTATATCAAAATCTGAACCGATTTTCATCAGTATTAACAGGGTTCGTTCTTGGGCCAAATAAATGAGCTGTGCCAAATTTCATCTAATTCGAATAATAAATGCGACTTGTACAGGGTGATAGAAAAAACTGCAACCAACTTCAGGCTGCTGTCATTTCAAAGCCACTCATCCGATAGCTGTTAAAATTATTCCAGTAACTGTTCATTACATTTTTTACAAGTTTGTTGAGGATTTTCCAGAAAAATAGTTATTCGTGATGGAATTCAAGCGTCATATTGAGATTTCTTTATATTTGGCTGGAAAACTACAAGCAGCTATCGTTAGAGCACTCTAGCATTTAAATGTGAATAAATCTTTTGTGTCAAGTACCATCGCTCATTATCGTGATACCAGTAGCGTAGCCCGACGTGAAGGAAGTGGGCGGAAGAAAACAGTAACATCAGCCGAAATGGTTCGAAAAGTAAAGAAGCGACTTGGTCGAAACCCGCGTCGCAATGGCCAAAATATGACTCTTGTGCTGAACATATCGCAATATTTCATTCCCCAAATATTGAAAAATGAGCTCGGGGTAAAGCCATTGAAATTCCAAAAAGTGCAAGAACTTACACCGCAATAGAAAGAAAATAGACTCAAAAGAGCTGCTTCGCTTGGCCGAAAGTGGTGAACTGTCGAGATTTATTTTCTCCGATAAGAAAACATTTATTGTCCAGCAGTTTGTAAACAAAGAAAATGATTGTGATTACTTGCCAAAGAGGTCAACTGAAAATGTGCAACTTCGGTTGGCCACCACAACTCAAGCGCCGGTCATACCGAATGGTCGCTCTCCTCTCGTAATAATCGATCGTGGTATCAGAATAAATGCCAAATATTTTCGCGAAAATATTCTGGAAGATGTATTGAAGCCTTGAGCAAACAAACATTTTGGCCGCAGACCTTGGACATTCCAACGGGACTCAGCACCATCGCAATCAGCACGCGCCACTCAAGAATGGTTACAAAATGAGGTTCCTCGCTTCATCTCCAGTGCACAATGGCCACCAAAATCTCCGGATACCAATCTGGAGTACATTGGAAAGCAAGGTTGGCACTAAAAAATACCAAAGTGTCGATCACCTCAAGCAATCACTTCGCCAGGAATGGGCCAAAAATACCGCAGAACAACATTCGGACAGCGTGTTACGGTTTCATTGGCCGTTTGAATGCCATAATTCGTGCTAAAAGTGACCAATTCGAACAAATATAAACTTATTCTAAAATTTGATGCTATTTCCAACATTTTTGCTTTCATTCAATAAATTAAAAAAAAAATAATTTGGCCGTTTGACTTTGTTGCAGTTTTTTATCTTACCCTGTACTTTGTTTCCAATTTAACGGATGGGCGGACATGTATAAAATGAATGAGAAAGTATTTCTAAGCAAAATCAACTATGGGTCTATCTCGTCTCCCTTTGCCTGATACAAACATGTATACAAAGACATAATGACCTGTACCACAGATTGGTGAAGGATAAAAAAATGGAAATGAAACAGGAACGGGTTTCTTTTGGGGACTATGTCAAACCATCGACCTATATTGATAATTTTATGCATAGATTTCAAAACGTCCACATCTATTTGGAATTTCAAAAATTTGTCTGATTATATGATAAATGACATAGCTATATTCGTTCTCTCAAGACCAATTGTTTTTGATAGCACCACTTTTCATCGGGGATCCTCATCCGTTCGCTCAATATCAATGCTATTATTGTTTGTGCCCTTATTGTACGGATTTCTGCGCAGACCTAGCCGAGAGTTTACTACTTTGGATAAATTCACCTCACTTATCATTTCGAAAATGTTGAGTAAATTCTACCAACATTGACATTTCCCTTAATTTTTGTACCACCCACCTAAAATAAGATCAACATAGAAGTACGCAATGCCATTTAATGCTGGAGCTGGTGGAAATCACTGAAGCGCAATGTCAGCCAGTTAACATTTTTTGTTAAAGAATAAAATTGGTTGATTCGCTGCTTCGGTGACTGTTGGAAACATTACCCTATAAAATCGACAGCACCAGTGATGACTATAACAACCGAGCACAGCAGTAACACTAACAACAATCTACAATCATAAAAAATCTGCATATTTTGTTTAAACAAAAATAAATAGAAAATATTGTCATGACAACTTAATACAACAACAAACAATGATCATAACTTCGGCTATAGAATCATTGCTATTATTTCAATATGT